TATTTAACTTTTGCTACGACACGAACCTCAGACGACACGTTTGATGTAACTTCACTATTCACTTTTGTGAACCGAGAGCGGTCGACGCAACCGATAATTAGGAGATGCGCCGATGTGAGATCGCATCGCGTATGACGTCGCGGAATATGTGAGGACTGAAGGCGTAAGTAAAAAGTTTAGAACTCACCGCAGGCGAATATGAGACACGCGGCCAAAGTAGCGACACGGGCGTAGCGCGCCATGACGGGATCACAACAGGTCGTTGCGCGGCCAACGTGCGGTTAAATAGTGGCCTCAATCTGCGCCCCGCCCGCCCCTCTCGCGCTGCGCTTACACTTCTGCTGGCACCCTTTGCACTCATCCTCTGTGAATCACCTGCATCTTCCAGCGGGATCAGTGAAGTAATCGCATCATTAAACATTCATACGCCGCATATTGAACAATAAACGCCCACCATAGCGCTCAACATCAGTGTAGCATAGTAGGTATGAAAATACTCAGCAAACATTCAGCTCGAAGACCTGTTTGTTAAACGTGTGATAGTATGCAAAGATTCGTTAACATATGACTAGTCTTCGATAAGTTAAAATGTAGGTCGATTTTATACGTCTGAATATTATTTTTAGCCTAATGTTGGCAGTCAGCTTATATAATATTCTGATTGATAAATTTAAGATCTTATAATTATAAAGTTCTAATTAATGAAACAAAAACAGTACTGTTGTTACTAGTGGGTTGTTAAAAATTATGAAATATTAATTTATAAATCGAACCGTTGTGTGCCCATTAAAAAAACGTTAAATAAATTCTACTAAAATTACTTACATTTGTAAAGCTCTTGAATTGTCAAGCACAGATTTTACAAAGTCTGTGTATGTTTATGAGTACATATAAATATCTTCCTAGAAGACTGGGCACTAATTTCTTTGAATGTTTTAATAAAATGCGGAAGAGATGACTGATTCATTTGATTGAGTGCTATAAAAGTGTATGTCTATCATATTAAAGAATATTTTATAAAGCTATTCATGATTATTAATTATTTATTTGTAAGATATTAGTAACCTGGATATTATTACTTTGTATTCGATCACAAAGAGATTATACAGGTCCTAAGCACACTGAAAGAGATCTCGATAAACGTAGGAGAAAGGGTAAAGTACTGTAAAAATCCACCTGCGGCTAGTGAGCCCCAGCTTTATGATTGATTGTGATTCTACAAATTAAGGCAGGCGAATCTTGTTTTCTTATATTTGAACGGTAGTGTAAGCTAGCACATTTCGACTGTTAGCGCATCTTATGACATTTTATATTTTTTTGCCGCATCTAGTAGGTTTATTAAAGGCCGTCACTTATCATCAGTAACAAAGGGATGAGATCTAAAACCAGACGATTAAATTCTGCCAGAGATTATAATATACTACTTGAATTTTACTTCCTGAAGTGCTTTATTTATGAAAATACGTATCTTTGTAAAGCATTCAAATACATCCAAAACATAGGTTTAAATTAGATAAGAAAAACCTTGTGACAATTTTTACAGTTGCGCAAATGATTCTCATCGTCGAGTGCATTGTTTTATTGCGGGAATAAGTTGCACTATGTGTAAAGCGCCTATTGCGTGCACTACTAACACTGCAAAATTTTACACTCTTAATAGGAAAGTGTTATGGCAATCAAAATATACCAACTTCTTTCATAATCTTATAGAGGCTTTTAAAAACAAGTCTTTAAATTAAATATAAGCATCAAATAAAAACCATATATATAAAAATTATTAAAATTAAATTAAATTAAATTATTTAGTTTCTGTATCTTTAGTAGTAGCTGGTGTATGCGGGACTAACATAGGCCAATTTTCAGGGTTCCGTACCTCGTTTTAATTCCACGCTCATAAAATCACGAGCAACAGTTAGTCTTACAACAATTATAACTGTAATTTAAAAATAGACATTTCAAAGAAATACAATGTATTAAGTGGATTAAAAGTGTAAATGAATTCAGATATGACGGCTGATAGAGATGTAAGGAAGAGTAGTACATAATGTGCCGACCCTTCGTAGGAAAGAGTGGAGGCTGAAGATGATAGGAAAAATAAGTATTAAAATAAATAAGTTCTTTGGCCCAATACGATGAGGGAGAGAAAGAAGAAACAAGAAACAGAACAGAAATAAGTTGTTATCGGACAAAACAAAAATATCATCTCTGAAATTCTTTCAACTTTAGGTATTATGTATACAAATATTTCAGCTTATAAATAGTGTTGTAGGTCATTTGCCGGCATCTGCAACAGTTAGCTACACGACATCTGGAACCTGAACGGATGTACGAGTTCGGAGAGGCTTAGTCACAGAGCAGTTTTGTGATTCACATCCACTCGGGACAGTTTCCTAGTTAGACCAAACACTTTTGACGGCATTGGCAAGTATTCGAATGTAGTTTTTAGTGGTTAATTTGAAATATCGCATACAAAACTCCCTCAGTTACCCTTTTAAATAACACAGTTTTCTTTAAATGATATGTAAGAAATCGAATTATAAATATTACAATATATTTTGCGGAACCATGTTATATATCAACGTTTATGTATGTAAATATAGGATTTTACTCAATGTGTATTTTTCAGTTATTATAAAATTTATAAAACTATGTAACAAACGCCGCATCTGAATTATGACTTACTCCAAATAAGGCGTAACATTGTATATCAACTACAATAAATTAAAAAAGCGCTTTATCAAAAATCTATCACATTTCCTTAAAATTAGATAAAACAAAGTGATTTTTCATTAAAATTTAATTAATGGTGATAGAATACTTGAACCGACGTGCACGCAAATACATAAGTGTTTTTCAAATTTAAAAATGTATTTGTAGGTCACTGGTGGTTGTACAGGGATCGTGCGAAATGGGAATCTGTGATCTTGAGTAACATTTTTCGATTACAAGTGTTTGTGTGCATGTCTGTAAGATAACTTAACGAATAGGGATAATACTAAATGAATAGAAAAGCTTGAAGATATTGCTTTATTTAATAAAATTATAGCCCATGAAAGGATCTATTAAGACGATAAAGTATAGCATTTCCAAAATCAATAGATATAAATCACAGGAAAGACCTCTTTACTAGAGAAATTCTTAGAATACTCAGTAAATCTACACTACCATATATCAGTAGATTAATAATATCACCATTCAATATTCTACAAAATTTATGAAATTTTCATTACAATTACTGTAAGCAACTTAAAAATAACACTTAAGAACATTAGTCTAAATGACATTTAAATGTAGCTACCTAAATTCGGTATATACCTAGCTCACTACGTAGTAGGCTAAAACTTGTAGGCGTCTCTTCATAAAGCAGTTTCTACCACATTCATGACTTACTTGCTACAACTAACTGCGTTACAAAGATATTCAGCTGCTTATCAAAGCATCGCAATCCTACCAAAACTAGAATACAACCTAATACCGAATAGCATTTTAGTAACAAGACATTTGACTACATTCTCATAGATGACGCAACACTAAGTACAGACAGATGTGTCCGTAAACAGAACGTTATGTAATTATAATCCGCGAATCGGCGCTCACGCATCACTGTGTCATAACATTCCTTTTCGGCGAGTGAAGATCATAGCTTCTGTACAATCTACTACATAATATCAGCTTTTTTTTGATATTTTTTTATTCATTAACATTAGAAAGATTTAAGAAACTAGTAAGACATTCTTATTAATAATATTCGGTATGATATCAAGGATCAAAATCTACAAATATACGTAGAACAATAGACGTTTAGTTTAAATTACGGTATTTATTTATTACTATATAATAATTAAACTTCTACATGTAAATAGGTGAAAAAAGTATTTTTAAATTTTGAAATTTTAATGAAAGATGAAAATAAAGAAATATTAAAGTCAAACTATTTAAACGAAACTAATCGTATTGTCGTTTAATTATTGTTGCGTCAAATCTAAATATAAATACGTAGTGACTAAAATATGCATCTACAAAATACATATCTAACTACCAGCTATAAAAAGATTAGAAACTACTTAATATTATGATAGTTAATTTTATGAAAAATATGATATTCTTGTCTTTATTACGTTTTATTATATAATTATTGCTGAAAGCATAACGCTCCATCTCATCACATAATATTTTAATAATTATAGTCGGGTCCTAAACTCCGAACCGACATACATCCCGCCTCTTTATTTTAATTAATGTATTCCATTATATGACCACAAATAAAATGAAATCAAGCGTTTTCGCACACAATATGCTAAATTTTAAATCTCTAAGGGAGTTATTCTCTAAGTTTCATAAACGATATTTAATTTATGCAAAAAATGTTTGCAATAAATTAGATAGAGTCAAGGAAAAATATTAGTTAAATACATTTCGATACATATTTCTCCTATCTTTTAATTCCATACTATTTTAAAACATAATAATGAAACGAATCATAAAAATTAAGTCAGTTTCAATTTTTAGCTTAACACGAACGAACACCAAATTGGTTGCAATTACAATGAATAAAAATTTACTTCAATACGAAGCATATGAGATTTTTTTTATTAAAAATCTCTGTTAATGGATATGTGAAGTTTGATTTAAAATATGACATAAATTATCACTATTACTTAGACATATTTTTATTAAAAGAGTTTGTTTATGTCAAGCAGAGCAATTGCTCCAATTCAGATATTTATGCAAATGTCGAATGTGCGACAGGTTATGAAAAATTACGTATATTTTTGAAAATTAGAAATATTACTTTTTAAAAGTAAAGTAAGTTATATAAATCATTGTAACAAATTCGTACTCAACTTGAAAAATGAAATTTTTTATCTTGATAATGTCAATGCTTTAACTTAAGTTACTGGATAAAAACATAAAAATAGAAAAGAAAAAAAGATGAACAGAAAGTAATTAATATCTAACTTATTTTTGAAATCTACACAATCCGTCAGTCAGTTAAATAAATTACTATTACAAACTTATCGTTAAGATAAATAAAAAACTTTCAAGGAACAAATGTTAAAATAATTTGATCTGTAAATATAGTGAAGTTTTAGGAATTTAGTAACGGTCTATCGACGTCAGTGGTTGCGTCGGCGGCGGCGGCGGCGGGGGACTGCAGTTTTGCGCGCTGCGAGTCCGTCGCGTCTCCGTTAGACAACAACGCATCGGTGGCGTCTGCCTCGCACGGGTCCTCCATCTGCGTCCAAAAGTAATTAGATAATGTTAAAAGACAAATGAAAACCGACGTAGCATTAAAGAATTATATATGAAAATGTTTATCTTATGTATATCGTTCATGCCTCAATGTAAACGCATCTTATATTTAAAATTCTTACATAACATAACTAAAAGCTTAGTTTAGAATAAGTATTCAAATCCGGGATGTATCATTAAGTACAAAGTCATATTCTGTATCAGTTTGCAACATATGGGTCGCGTCCGCTGTCTGAGTGCTGCGTAAGGAAACTTCAAAGATATAAAAAAAACAAGTCTTTTTTTGCATCGTCCACCATTCACCAAGGATAAGATACGACATGTTTAAAAACACTGTTCTACATCACGAAATAAATCACATACATCACAAAAAATCACTAAATAAAAATTTGTTAACAAGAATGCATTCTAAATAAAATGATCGGTGTATCAAAATTCTCTTCGCAATTTAAGATAATTACAGGCCCTTTAAAGTTATTGAATAGTTTTATAAAATGCACACTATTATTCACTGACGACTCATTAAATCTTAAAGTAAGATCGTGAATATCATTACCTTGAAATTCGTTTAGTTTAAATTAAAATACGAATAAATGTATGCGTTGGGTGACCTTCAAGCAGCATCTTTAGAGCTCCACATCAAACAGGACTCTATACATGATATTGAACTGAAGTGAAAGGTATTTGAAAACAACACGTCATTATTACATTGTTCTCGCCACCTATTCTTTGTAAAATCTATTTGTTTGATTATATACAGGTAAAATTTAAATCAAATTCTTATTTTTAATACAAAATTGAGAAATAAAAACAAATATTTTAGCAGGATTAAACTTTACAGTTATCAGAGATGATCCACGTGCGTCGATTTGGTTGTAGATAAGTGGTAATACAACGCGCAGTCTGGCCAGTCAGGCCGACGTATGGAAAATCGGCCTGTCCGGGTAGACTGTACGCTGCGTACCAAAGTCTTGTCTTCCATCAAAAGATTTACATGCCATGACGCTATGACTAACATCTTCAACTGTAATACCTTACATAAGAAATGACATTTTCATAGGCAGTTATCTAACCAATTTCATAAAATAAGGACACGAGGTAGGAATTGGAAAGTGCGAGCATATTTCTTATACTTATACGAGCAATACTTCATCATACTTTATTGCATTCCATAAAGATCGAAGAATTAAAATATTTTGATACAACTGCAGTCTCAGAGGCGGCATTGTATACATTTTACATATATTAATTTCATAAGAATTAAGAGGTTTTTATCTAGTAAGTGAGTCCATTGTCTTTCATTCATCAAAGTCTTTGATTTATTGAACCTCTCCACAATTTTGCGATAGAAAGAGGAGTTACCAATTAATAATGTAGGAAACATATCTCTTACATTATTAATTGTAGTAATACTATTAGTCACAGTGTTACGTACCATGGATTTCTCTGGTTCACCGGTGACAGAGTCGCGTTTTCCTTGTAAGTAATATGTCATCAACTGTCCCTTGCCTTTGACAGCCACGAGGCCGCGTTGCTCAAAGTAATACCCAAAACACTGGAGAATTTGACAAGTTTCTTCCGTCACCTGAGGTAAATAACGGTATTTCACTTGGGTTACAAATTATAACAATTATTATAATTGAATGGAAAAAATATAATATAATAAATTACATTAGAATACAGTTTTATACTAAATTACAAAGACATCGTATTCAAGCTCTAATCGAAATCATAAAAGTGATGTACATATATAAAGAAATAAATTACTGAATTTCTACAGTATGATACCAAAACGCATAAATTATGAGAAGCATAATTTTTTCCTCAAATTCATTTTGAATATGATTCGCGTCCTTTAAGATAAGTAATGTTTTCAATTTAAAGTGCAGAATTTGAATACCTGTATACATCCCGCTTTGCCAGTGCTCTCCATTCGTGATGCGACGTTGACAGTATTGCCCCATATGTCATAGTGCGGCTTGCGGGCGCCTATCACACCCGCTGTGATCGGTCCGTGATTAACTCCGAGACGCAACACGAAGTGGTTGAATGACTGCTCATTGATGGCTGTCAAAACTCTCTGCAGTTCCAGTGCGAATTCCACGAGGCATGCGAGATGAGCCCAGCGGACGAGCACACCATCTGACGGCTAAAATTAAAAATTAAACGTTTGGTTCATATACTAAGTTGAGTTCAAAAACGATGCAAAGTTGCACACTAAAATCAATACACAATATTTTGGTGGTTTCTCTATTATCACAACGCATTTAGTTTGTTATAGAAAAATGTTTCTTACAAATGTAGCAAGGTTGCTATGAATCAGTATATTATTTCAAAGAAATAAATAAGAACGTCTTTATTGTCATCATAAAGGAACGGAAATGTAGTAGCTCATACAGTAATTATAATAAAAAAAATATGATAACAATATATAATACATAAAAGTTTTAAGCCATCAGTCGCTTAGAACTTCGTTTGTATTATGTTGTATTTGTTAATGGGTCCCAGATCATATCTCATTTAAGTATAATTGTTTAGTTTGCTCTTTTACTAGGGCTGCCAACTATATAACAACCAACCAAACCAACAATAAACCATTTTATACAACGCAAATACTACCGAATCTTAAAATTTCAAGTCAGAATCATTTTCTACCTGTATCTGACGAAGGTAAACATGACGCGAATGTCCTTTAGCATTTTTAAATGGCCTTGAGTTATTTAAAGAAGTACATTAGGCCATTCAATTTGACGATAAACTGGTTGGTAAATCAGATAAAGTAGACAAGAGATAAAACTACAAATGTAGTGTTTGAGTTAAAACTTAAAACTGTTATAATCTATTGTAGAACTATATAACTACCTCTACGCCAAATGAAAACTATAGTTAGTAGAATATACGGTCGTATAGAAATTGTTATTTGACTAAGCTAAAGTTTTTACACGGAAATATTTTCCTACTATTATCAATTACATGAACCCACGACTTTATCTTTAGTAGTTCATAGTCCGAACCCTGATTCACCATGCTGTTGGCGCTTCACAAATTATACTTTCCATGTACAACTAGAAAAAGACCATTAACATAGTTTAAACAACATTGATGATAGGCACTGACGTACTTAACAACTAAGTAAAGTTTGTTCTAGCCTGCTTCGTGCTTGCACTCAATACTATACATAACCTTACATTTTGTCCAATTTCAAAAAAGCACGATACTAATAAATAAAATAATTAGATGGTATAATGCAGGCGTTACTTTTTTTTACTTGTTTACTTAATTAACATCCTGATTATTGTGATATTTAAGAAGTAATTAGCAAACGCATAATAGCAAATGTAGTAGTAACTTACACCGATTAGACTACAATGGCTTTCTTAAAAATAATTGTTAAATAAGTAATATTTTTTATTCTTTACATTTTACAGTGGTAGAGCCCGCTTTAACATCTTCGCACGAATTGGCCCGGTTCGCCCGGTGAAATATCACGACCACACAGAAGACAGGCGTCAAGTGGAAGCAATTCCGCGTTTCGTCTGATGAGTGTGCGTCCCGGAGGCCTAATTTAGTCCTCTTTCCATTCCCACCCTTTTTCTTATAAGGAAAGGATGAGAAGTGAAAGTGGACTTTCCAGATGAGAATGTGCATGGAAATGGAATATATTTTCTTTCTGTGCATCCTCTCCTCCGTCGATTAAAGGTAGGCAACGCATATGCAATTGCGTATGTCTATGGGCAACGGTCACTTCGCTATATCAGCGATTTCAGGTGTTCGCTAGCTCGTTTGCCACCTTATGATATAAAAAAATTACCTGCATCTGTCGCGTGGGATTTAGGCCTGATGCAGCCATGTATGTGGAACTTATAGTTTTGATTTTTATTATATCCTTGCTGAACTTGGAATTTTCCAGTAACTGAAATAATAAAAATATGGTAATCCAAAAAAAACAATAATCAATTTATTGCGAATACGCAGGCCAAGGTTTAAAAAGATGATGTGCAATATAATCCTTACCAGGTCAAAGTCAGAGATTACTTCGTTCAAAAACCGCAGACATTCCAGCCCTTGATTGTTCACAGTTTCTTCGGAATAGAACTCTGTAATAAAAATAATATAACTAATTTAGATTGGTTAAATAATTTTTAATATGTGTCAATTAAATGAATAGCAGCTTTGATATTCATTTACTTGACGTGTATCGCTACGACATGACATATCTTTGCGGATAAATATTCATAATTTGCTGAATTAATTTGCGATAAGCTATTTGAGGAAATGGAGTCAAGAGTAATTCACTAAAATAGTCTCTACCGTCTCTACAAGTAGCGACATCTATTGATGCAGGTTATAACCTTTAAATGGTCAATAGCAAACACAAGACGGTATTTTACATTTTAGACCGAATACACGCAAATAAGTATAAGTAATACATTATGGTAAATAAACTGAACAGTTATACTCTGTGTAATTTTACTTAAGCTCATACTGCTGTTTGATTTTACCATTACAGTTAGACTAAGAGATCGTGGGTTCAATTCTCAATTACTTAATAAAGTTCAAAACAACATATATATATATTATTGTTTTAAAAACATTATAATATTTGTGTTAGTTAAAAATTCCCGTAAATTAAAGCTACAAAACATTAACGAAACCAATCTTTATTTTTTATGGTTTATAAGGCTATCCAGCAATAATTTCTATTATCGTTAACCCAAAACTCTATATTTTCTTTAATGGGATTTGAGTTGAAACGAATTTTTAACGTTGTCTGTTAAAAAAAAAATAGTAATATTGTTTTTCCATTATGGGATCGAGAACGTTGCTAATTATATTCCGAGATGTCTAGTCACATATTTAGATAGAAAACACACATATAAGGTAAAATGTCTTTATACATCGTAACCTTGTTAAAGACAAGGATTTAAGTCTGCGTGTTACCTTAGTGCTAAGTTAATTAAGTCCTTTACCAATTACGTTGTAATACGTTTTATACCTGCTTTTACAAAATGACCACCATTTGTACAACTCGTTTTCTGAACAAAGATGGGTTGATTTGCATAGCATTTAGAAGCCCGGACTAAAGCAAATGCGTTAACATTAGTCACTCTTCGAGTTAATTGACATACGAATAAAATTACAGATACCATTAGAAAGTTTAATGACTTTAACGGAGACAGATCAGATGTTTACGCGTATGTAGGAGTATTTGCTATGATCACTGTTACGTTATTACATCGCAGGTCTTGCGTTCGATACTTATTCGAAGTAGCATACTTGTATGATGTTTTCCAAAGTTAGCAAATGGGAAAGCCGCTGTCAAACTAATACTGTTTATGAAACCGCGTTAGTTTTTTGCCTAAATTAATCATAAATCATTTGTCATCTTAATGTGTCTGAAGATAACGTATACAAGTGTGATTTATACTTGGCTAAAGAACTTCTTTGTCCTCTAAGTTTGGCTTGATATTATGTTTATGTATGTATAAATGTTGCCAAGAAAAAAGAGAATAAGAATTTATTTCTAATAATAAGTTTATATTGAATATTTTAAGATGATATCATGTTGTTATGTTCTCAACATCAACGTTGGTATCATTTTAAAATATTCACTCACAATGCATCATTACTCATGTTTTCTTATAAGAAAAACATATTTACTATTAAATTATTCAAACTTTCGTGAGACATTATACTAAACTGATATATAAACACGGCTAAACACTCACGTGAGTGTTTAGCCGTGTGTATATATCAGTTTAATATTTACTATTAATTAAGTTACGCGTGAATTTATCGCCACTATTGTCACATTTAGTTGTGAGCTTTCCTGTCTTTAGCAAAAATGCTAGCAAAGCTAAAAAAATGCAGAGTGTAAAACATAAAAAGAGTATATTGTCACACTATATTTAGGCAGGGCAGAAATAAAGTAATATTGAATTCGCGTCACATAACTGCAAGCACAAAAATGAAGGTCAATACTAGAATATTTGGTTGTAGAATGTACCAGAGAAGTTGGGCATGGAGGCGAAGAGCACGCCGACCTCGGCGTAACTCTGGCTGTAGAGGTCGCGGTGGTGGTGGCGCGCGCCCATGAAGTGGCTGGCGACGTGCGGTGGCAGCACATTGTGCACCAGCGCCTGGTTGCGCCGCCGCAGGTCGATCGCCTGCTCCGCCTGCGCGCGCATGCGCTCCCCGCGAGAGTGTCGCGCGCGCTCCAACGACTCGCACTACCGTAACACACAACAAATTGTAACAGTTACATTTTATATTAAATTAATTATTAAAATTATGTTACATAGCATTGTTAACAAACCTATTCATTGCAAATTATCGCCAATTTTGTATCACGTGCATGTAATGGTTTCAAAGCGTGTCCTTAGATTCATTACATTGTTATCTTATTTTATTTCTTACTAATATTAACATTATTGGAGTACAACTCACGTAATGATTATATACCAGAAGAGCGATGAATATGATGAATAACATGAAGATGTTTCTGGCACTGTGAAGTTGCATCCTGCAAAAACAAAAATTAAATCTTACGATCAACATTTCAAACAATACAAACACTAGTCTGAGCAAAGCCTTAGACTAGCAGACATCGCAAATACATCGAAAATGTGTGAATTAGCCCTTCACTACAACTTAATAAACCACCAAATTTGCATCTTGCACACCGTCTTCATTATAGGATTCGATTGGAACATTTAAAAGTAGTAATAGAACAGTTTTTACCCAATTTCCAATATCACCCGATTTTATGAACGATGTGTCGTAAGCTGTTGGAATCCGCACGACGTGGTACGACTAGTAAAGAAAATTTTCTTCTTTGTATGTGCGCTAAGTAAACATGACCTTTGTGCTTTACTTCTACGTCTTCTTTTTCTATTGCTCTTACTTCTTCATTGAGCCAGATATTACCGCACAGGCGGATCTTAAAAAATGTTTCGGCAATTCGTTCTATATGATTTGAGTTATATAATTGGATATGAATATTCTAATCTCAGTAGGTGGTACTACTTGATTGTAAAAAATTAACACTAGTTAAAATTTTGCAACATTCCATGTGTTAAAAATAAACAAGTTTCAATAAACCTTTGCTATTTCTAAGCAATGATGCTGTGAGGATAGTAATGCAAATTGCAAAATCGCCTGTCATAACCTCAAACCTGCGAGACTGCAGAGGTTACATAAACGTCGTCACGAATATATTGCTCAATCTAATACCACTGTACCTATTGTACATTATTAATTATATTTATTATTCCCATGAAGAATGTCACTATAAGACAAATATATTTACATTTACCAATCTGATTTAAAGTACAGAAATCGGCCATGTACTTTTTTAGATTAAGAAAGTTTTCAACGCTAATTATCTTGTTTAGTCAGTTAACAAACCCCGGCTTAATGCGGCACATGATAATACAAAAATCCAGTGTAATGAAAATATTATAATTACTTAAGTTATTACGTAAAAACTTGAATAATAGTAGCATTCAACAACGTTAATAAATAATTATACTACTCGTATTCGTTAAATAAATAAAATATTCAAACATAATGAATGTAGCTAGGATAATAGCTACACATATAATATTTTTAGAAACACAAATCCAATAAAAAGTGTTGAGTAGGGTATGTAAAAGCCGTTGTAAAATATGTGTCAAATAACCGTAACAATAAATCTAAAAACAATACAGCAATTTCGAATAGTGTTGTCAATACGCGATTGTATTTTACTTTTACTCGTTAGGCGTACCCCATGTATAATAATAAAGAAATATTTTTATTATAATAATTTACTGTTAAGCGGCCTATGTAAGTCATCATTAATAAGCTAATAATGTACTTACATCACTAAGAGGAATTGATCGGCGTAGTGTGTTGTGTTTCCATGATGTAGCAGTGTATCAAAGGGGTCGCGGGCAGGGTTGCGCAGGGCGAGCAGCTTGGGCGAGTGGAGAGCGGGCACGACGTGCGTTAATACCAGCGACAACAGGTAGGCGGTGCGCATCCTACCAAACGACATCGCCGGCCACAGTGTGCAGCACGCCGCGCCCACGGCGATCTTCATGTACAAAACATCATTTTGAAAAAAAACAGAAAAATTCTCAAACCCGTGAAGAATAAAAGAGCAGGACTATAAGTAATATTTCTTTTTTGATTCAAAAAGCATTCAAAAATTATTCGTAATTATTTCATAATGCACGGTGCTATTTAATCTTAAGAGTAATATTCATAAGTAACTCATCACTTGACCGTCATGAGAAGTTGATAATTTTGTGAATACCAGAAAAATTGTACTTGTACAAGCGTAAAGTGGCAAGTTACATGGTAATAGTAAGTGGGATGCATGCAGCGGCGCGCACCGCCACGCGCCGGCGCGTCCTCCCGCTGCCCATCCTCGGACCGCACGATGTCGAAATCTCCGCAGATCACCTTTGAAACATGTCGACATACTATTAACAGAACGGACACACTTCACAAAATCAATTAATCCAAATAAATAATTATACAAATGTTCGAAATGATGAAAATTAATGCTACATATTTTTAAGCAAAGCTTTTGTTTTAACAAATAACAAAAAACTGCAAGGAACTTTAAAACAAAATAGTGTAAAAGAACTTAATGCAAAAAGTTTTAAAAAACTAAGGCAAAAAATATTGTATTCAAAAAAAAATAAAAAAAACCGTCATATTTTTCGGAAATAACCCGGTGGCGTGCATATTATTTCGCAAGGCTGTTGCAGGCCGAATATTCCACGAAAACCGATGTAGTTCGGATTTTTTGTTATGAAAATTGGGCTCCATTTTTAATGGAATCTAAAGTAACAGTTATAAATAATAGATCGAATATTTTGTATGCTTAGATACCATTAGTAAGGAAAAATATTAGGAATAGGTGCAATCAGTTTTGCAAATTCTTTGAAATTTACAGCAAGGGAGGAAGTAGTACACAATCGCGAAATAAAGGGTAATTAAATTATCTGAGGCACAGCTAGTTACTAGTTTATAGGAAGTATTATGTATGTATACATACCAAGATGGTAATATTTGCAATTCCGAACATCATTATGTTGAATATGTTGCATATTATCTTCGATGTCGGGCTTATTGTCTTTGTCTAGAACCAAATCAAAGCAAAATATGAATTTCATAGTTAAAGATCGTGCAGTTCATTATCAATTCGACTTATATCTTGCTACGATAAGCAGGTGCGTGGTCACTGCTGAGAATTCGATTGGAAAGTTTCTGGCCATAAAAGAAAACTACCTTTCACCGTGATTTTAGAAACTTTTCTATTTGAATACATCTATCTTTATACTCTCTTAAAGACCTTTACTTTTTTGTGTACCTCATCTATGTCCAAACCTCTTCTGTACCTCGAAAATACATACACCAAATCGCTTCGTCCTTTTTCTAATTAAATAATTCTTACTAAGGGAAATATCTTTAAAATTAAAATTATCACGAACATCACACAGATACCATCAAAACAAGATAACCTAAAATTTGTCAACCTTAAACTGTTCGTATTTGTAGTTGGCATAGAAGAAAACGTTGCCAAGGAAGATTGCAAGCTCGAGGACGAGGTACAGCGACCAGGCGGACGGCTCGATGAAGCTGGCCATGGCCGCCACCGTCAGCAGCAGCACCAGCGGGGGCGCCATCGCCGCCATGGGGCACACATCCGTGCGGTGCGTGAACGCAAACTCCGCCTCTCTGGACTTGAACGTGAGGCAAAGGTTCGTCGCGTCTGCTAGCTCTCTATAAAAATTCATCATCACTAAATAAGATATGCCCATACAATGTACTTTCCATAGTATACATACATACATCATACATTATATTTGCAAATACAATACAACCGAAACACATTTTTTGGAGTGCCAGTGATTAGCTTACATGTTTCTATTTATAAAGACATGATCAAACTAATCGAACAGAAATAAGTACTTCAGCAGAAAATACGATCCCTATTAATTGAAATAAGTTCAAGGCAAATGAAAAATACTGGGAAAATAATCTTAGCAATTTAAAATATACGGCGTAAAATGTAAGTCTTTTTATGGACGAGAAATGAACGCATTCAATATAGAAACGGACTTACCTATCATCATCTCTATTAACGAGTTCTTCTTCTAACATGGCGAGTATTTTTGATTCTTCGTTGTCCTCGCTCTCGTCTTGCGGCGATAGAACCTATGGATAATGTACGAAGCGTCTCCATGTAATCGATGAGCAACATATTTTGATGTAGATAACCGACTCATAAATTGCTAGGAGAAATCGGAATGAAGGGCTCTTTCCAAGCGGATGGTATTAATACGCTACAACTAACAAAGCTATATTTACTGCAAAACTATTACCGTACAGTTGTATATTCAGACTTTTAAAGAGTACATGGAAGGGCCGAGATAGTTGTACCGGGAACTTACAGAGTCCTCGTCGTCGTCTCGCAGCTCCGACAGCGTGTCCGCACTGTTCCTTGCCTCCACCACCTCGCCATCCGGCATATTTCTATCTTCAGGAACAACAACGACACCGACGCCCCCACCGCCGCTGCTCTGGAACTAAATTCGGAAAGAGTATTAGTAAGTTTTAGAATAAGCAATATTATTTCAGAAAAATTGGAGCCACGATACGTTACACAACGTTATAATAATAGGAGTCAAACTCGCACAAACATTACTTGTGCAAGTATGTTCATTCCATTGTTGTAGCAGTAAGTCAAAAACAGTTCAGAAAAATGACGTATCATCCTATTCTTTACCTTCCCCGGAATTATAGTAGAGACAGTCAAGCTGGTTAAATTACTTATTTTATCAATTTTCTTTTATATTCACTAACCGGTTTAAGGACGCGTACTATGAAATAGGTTTTGATGCCGGCCTGACGTAACATTTCCTCGCGCCGCTCCCCGTACGCGGGTTCCACTTCGAACTCATCATTGAGAAAGCTCAAAGTCATCTCAGATACGTGCACGCGTCTGTAAATTATCAAATATTTTAGTTCCACTCATAACATTCTAACATAATTATATTAATGAAGTAATACTCGTAAAAATCACTTGGCGCTCCAATTAGCTCGCTATGCTGACAAGGTCATATCATTCAGTCAAGGCTGGAAGTTAAAGGGAACTTCTTTAATTATCAAACTTAATAACGTTATAAATATTAACAAAATAAACGAGATATGTTGAAGTACTTGTATCTTACCTTTTTTTGTTTTTTTTTTAAAGATAACTTCAGAGTATAAGCTTACAATGACGTCGAGGTCACGGGATTAAAATTTACTTAATTCGAAGCAATTGATCTCATTTTATTCCTGCCATAATATTTAAATACTGTGTTTTATATTTACCGAAACAATTGCCAGTAAATAAATAACAAATGTTTAATAAACTGTTTAATTTAACTGTAAAATTACAATCGTTTAGAGTAGAAGCTTTTCGTAGTTAAGTATCCAATTTGTTATTCATGATAACGCAAGCTGCGATTGGATGCGCAAGTCGGGATCGATAGTTAGAGTGGAGGGACTTAGCGGGAGCCAGGCTACCGCCAGCGTCGGCTACACGAAACATATCAGACATAATATAATATATACAACCGAATCAAATAAAGATTCGTGACATATTTTAGAGTTATTTAAATTAATATAATAACTCAAGTTTTTGAGTATTTATTGTAAAAGAAAAGAAATAGGTGCTTTTCGTTCATAAACTTATGACACGATGATAAATAAAACTTTATAATAAGTTAATAGAATTTATCTTTCGTAAAGTTTTCATGCGAGTTACATAAAATAAAAGTTACGATTTTTTTTAAAAGATATATAATATAATTTAATAATAAACAATTCGGTCTAAAGTTGCTTTTCTTTGCCACATCACTTAGCTTGATTATACAGCATATGAAACAAAGACTTATTCTTATATCCCATGCTTCTAGCTCATATTTATCCGAATGATAAATATTTTTAGGTAACAAAAAGTATAAAGTAGTTATAGTTAACACTTTTTACCGGTATTTGTGGCTTTATACAAATAGCAACAGTTGTAGCTAGTTCCCAAGTCAGTTTTTACGTTTCGTTTGTTTACGTAATAAAGAAAACAAATGAAATAGTTTACTAAAAATAATTCAAGCTTAATTATATTGCGTTGTTTCACGTACTCATAAATATTCGCAAGTTCTCATAAACATGCCAATACGATTAGCCCGTAGAGAATAATTTGTTAGGGCTGGAATACGGTCAAGGCCAAAAATAAGGTCATCAATTCAAGCTTTTGATAATAAAATTAAAGTATTTTGCATAACAAATATCTGACGCAATAGTGTCTCGTGCAGATGCTTCTTGCTAGATGTATATAAAACACTACTAAACTAACTCTATTTAATAATATAAATATCCGTTATCAGTCCTGTTTAAAATTAAGTAAAGTTTTCGGTTTAAGGGCCAAAATAACAATTCTGTACGCTACGGTAAAAAAATATAGGTTTTGAGGCCAAGTTTAAAATTGTCTTTTGCACGTCGCCCTCTTCAACGCCAGACATCGATCCACCAAGTACTAGATATACTTTGTAAGCGTTTTGTGTCAAACGCGGTGTTGTATATTTTACGAACGGTTTCCCATAATTTTATTAGAATCCTATGTACTTACCTCTATTAGCGGTAACTTGTTAATAATAGTATGGTCAATTTAGTCCAATTAAGACATTAATCGTCTGAATATTTACAGAAATAATCTTCTGAAAATTGTTTCCAGCATGTAATCTGTTTGGCAAATTTTTAATTTATGGACGCAATATATTTTAATAAGGTTTTAAGAAAATTGGACATTTAACAAGTTGCACGCCGCAAAGTCTGATGTCACCAAGCACCGGACACCGAGCAACGATCACCGGGCACCGGCTTGCAACATCGAGAAAGTCATAAATTTATTTCGATGTCGCTAATCCCATCATGCGACGTTGAAAACTGTTTCCTAGATACAGTCTCGCAAGATTATCTATGAATATAACTAACACACAAATTAATATTACGAAAATTCAATTTATTATTAATAATTTATGTAAGTCCAAAAATATATGATAATCTTTACACGAAACACGAACTAAGTCAAATTAATATTGACTGACGTAAAAAAATATGTATTAAAGCCATATTGAAGTTAAACCTTATACTATACAATGTAACTTTTTTTTATGACAAAACTTGGAATTATACTTTTAACTCGGGAGACTAAAGCATAACACTTGTTTTGAAGTCTAAACAGAAATGAACATTTTAGAAACTAACGTTGAAAAACATTTTTAATCTATATTTTAATAATATTAGATCTGAAGGATATAACGTACCCTTTTAAAACTATAAGTTGCTTGGTCAACTCATAATTTTGTCGAATTAATTTGCTAAAGTAAGCAAGTAGTTACCCAGCCATTCCACTGCTCTCCATCTTGTTAGCAAGTTCGACATCGCGTGAGTAGACGTCGAATTGCCACTGTCTCTGACCTAGGACCCCGGCCAACACGGCGCCGGTGTGTATGCCCACGCGCATGTCCACCGGCGAGTTCGTTATTTGTTGTACATATCTGAATAATATTTTATTTCTTAAAGAAAAAAATATTAAAGCACTGGACTACACAACCGATTTTAAAAGCCCTCAAACAAGAAATCACTAGGAATGCTAATGGTGGTACAAATCAAGACGATTGTGATGTTTAATTTTTCATATTTCATTATATGACTTTTTCTTTTGTCTAAATTGACTAGGTAACAAATGTATTAGAAATATATCTTATTATATTGCTTACGAATTGTATTCATAATTTATTATAAAACTATCTTACTTTATCGCTTTAACCATTGATAATCCCATGTGAACGCAAAGAACGGCATGATCCGGTCGCTCCAGTGGTGCGCCGCTAATGCAATAATAACAATCTCCCAGGATTTTGATTCGCAGTTGATTGTATTTCTTGAAATTAAATAAATTAGTAAATATCTCCAAATAACAATATTAATATACGTTAATAAATAAGCCATACCTCAGCGAGTCGATCGAAGCGCGCAAATAGCTCATTTAAAATTGCAACTAGGTCTTGGGCTGAATATGTAGATGAAATTGCAGTGAAGCCCACGATGTCAGCGTATAGTATGCTGCCATTAAAAACTAAAGTTATGTATCACAGTAGAGTATATTTCTTTTTCTGAATCAATTTACAGCCAATAAAGTAATTAATGATAAAAATTACTCACCTAACATTTTCGTGCCGCGACATGTAAATCTTTTTAAATTGTGTGTCGATAAGTCCTAGTTCCTGTCTCATTTGAACGGCGACATGTTCGGGAAGCACCGACAGCAGCAGTCTCTCCTAAAGTGCAATAGTTATAATATTGCAATTTTCAATTTACTTATTTTATTAATCTCTGAAATGTTTATAGTAATAGTAGTCGAACCTGTTCTTTACTTTGTTGTTCGATGGTGAGTTTATCACGTAAGCTTCGTTTTGTTTCTTGGAAAGAATTTCTTTGTTGTCGTTCTCCAACAATATATGCGACTACTCCCAAAAGCGTACCTCCCATCAATAAGGTACCATTTGCTAATTGCTGCATAAATTAAACCATGTTAGCTCAATAAACCACTGTAATTAATTTAAAGACATAAATAGACATAGTCAAGGATGTAACGCACCTGACCAAAAAAGTCTTCGGGAAGCCTATTTTCCGTTGTGATAGCCAGGTAATATTGAACAAAAAGATACCCTGATAATGAGAGCAAACTATAGAGTAACAGTATGACATAATGAAAGGGTAACATAGCAACCGTGAAAAATTGCACGACGACAGCCCACCCGAGCAACTCGTTGTAGGAATCTCCAATGCGACGTGACACGCTTATCAGAAGCTGAGCCCAGATGAAAAGCCATGCAATGTGGTTCATTACATAACGTGCTCGTCGAACGAAGGCATACATCGCCAATAGAACTACATTGACTAAGAACGCAATGCCTACGAAAGTATAAGCGAAGTAAAGGTTACTCTCGCCGGGGACAATCGCAGCAAAAATTTGGAATAGCAATCCGGTGGCAAGCAGTCGTAGGACCGCTCTTTGCCTTTGCCGCTCTGTGTAGGCCAGATACAGTTTCTCCTCCGATATGTCTGTGAACCTCCATGGCGGCAGCAAGCACACCCAGCATGTGTTCTTATTCAAGGATTGCGCCTGCATTGTTTTCTCCATGTCTATTAACACTTGCCCATTTTCACTTTCAGGAGCTTTATGTTTATGTTTCAGTATTGTCTAGTTGTCTTTATTTTCTTCAAGGCACCACATCAATTTAAATAAATATTTTTTTCTATTATTATGAATACATATTAACTTATTATTGCGGTCCAATTTTTTTTATCGTTTGCTCGTAACGTTTTATTTTAATAACTGATAAGCTTCACTGTGATTACACTTTTAACATTCGATTTATATTGATTATTATCTTCCGAAAATATTTACCTGATAAGTTAAAGAAAAAGTTAATAAGCTAAGTCGCAGTTAAAATAATACTACCAAGCTAAACAACTGTCCGTTTATCGTCCGATCAGAACTAGCACTCATGTGTTTTAGTAGTAAAGAAAAGAATTTGAAACGGTGACTTTCCGCTGGCGGCTGGCTGATCGAGGACGTCTGTATAATGAATAAATTACACGCTGAAACATTGTTCCGATGGCAGTTCATTAACGAAGTCGTCTAATGGCATGGAGAACGCATGTTTCATGAACAGATGGTCGCAAACTGACTACTGGCGACATCGACATCACTAATTCCCGTGCTGACGATCGTTACACCTGATGACGCGACAGTAACGTGACCGTGAATTCGCTTCATGTACTACACGTTTTTCTTTTCACGGATTTAACTAACACATGGCCATCGTTAAGAAAATGTAAAATAGTCTTTTGTTATAATAACAAATACAATATTATTACTAAATGGTCAAATAACTATTTCGTTTAAAAGTTTTATTATTCGGCCTTCACTATGTAATTTGAAAACTAAAAAAATATAAATAGTTGAAAGAATTATCTCGATTATAAGTCATTTTAAGATGGTATAACTTACATCTGTGTAGATTTTGTCATTGTTCTTTAATACATTTAGAATTCGGTCGCTTTGAGTATTTTGAAATAACATGGTATTTCTGAATGCTAGTTTAAACGCCTGAAATCCTTTCATATATTAAAATCGAAGAAAACCACATAATAGATTAGCAAAGGTTTCATTTCAAATTAAGTCAATTAAGTATGAAAAACTATTTTAGTATTCTACCAGGAATTGAAATGAGAACTAACATTTTTGAAATAATTACTTCGTTTCGAGTAACCTTCCTGCAGTTATATTTTCTGTGACTGAAGTTGGTCCTTGGAACCAGAGGCAGCTAAAATATCGTCAAAAATTAGCAAACTAATATTTCTCGTAAATTGTTCTATCATAAATATGGAAAAGTCCGTATGTTGTTACAAATACCAAATGTTATCTTCCGTATGCAACAAGTAGGTGAAATTATTTTGTTAATTTTAGTGCAATGTTACTCATATACAATACAATATATTATAAAAAAACAATTGTCACAGTATAATATATTATAACTTACAGATATGCATACTCATTAAATACAAATTTTTACTTAACTTTTAAAATCAGATGAATTACGAAAACAAACATATTATTAAGTATTTATCAGATTATTATTTGTTTGTATATTACATAGCATATTGAATTACCTTTTTATATCATATATATATATTTCATATATCATTGTATTAAATGATTAAATATGACAAATGGATTTTGAATTGTTTAAGTATAAAGTACATCTAGGTACATTATGCATTATAATGTTTCCGTGTGTGTATCTATTGAATCCTATAAAGTTATAGGCAATAGATTATAGTTACTTAGATTAAAGCTTCTTCAATAACCATTTGATTTATTTTGTTAAATTCTTTACGCTTTTAAGCCTTGTAACACTTGAATCAGATAAAAGCGCCACTTCGACCCGAGGGACAATACTTTGTATAACGTGCCTGTCGAAACACAAGATCGATTGGTAGATTGCGGTTACTTTTTTAGAAACATTTGTATTTCAATATTCATTTATCTTTTATACTTTAAAGTGGGATCATTTTTTTATCGTTTAACTAAAATAATTATTTATATTATTCATACCTTTATTTAGAGAAGATGAAAAGTCATGAACATTAATGATTAATGCAAAAATGTTTCCCGCCGAAATTATAATGATGTAAGTAATTTTCATAAGATTTCAGTATTACCGATAATTTTAAGCACAAAAAAGTCGTTTGAGGTGTTATTGATCTAAATTTCGTTGTCTCGATTAAAAGCTGTTCGGGTATTTCAGATGGGTTTTTGATAAAGAAATAATTTTGGAAAATATTGAACGAGTCGGTGGTAGCAGGGTACAGCGCGGCGCGGGGACGGTGCGCGCACGTGGCCGCGCGCGACTGCCGCGGCCGCCGCCCTCCGATCCCGGCCCGCACCCCGCGCCTGCCCGCTACGCCGCTCTCCCGGACGCCCGCCGCCTTGCACACCATCTATTACATCGATTCTCTCCACATTTTAGTAATGTTAAATGAAACAATGTCCCACTACCATTTCCTGCAAATTATTTACACCCATTAACAACTATAGATCGCTATTCAGAAGCAAATATTCCTACTAATATTTCCAATCGCAGCTCAGGGATGAAACTAGAAAATAGGTCATTTCCTGATTTCATTTTGCTGCGACGACGCTATCAGAACGTAATGGCACTATAATCGCATCAGGTCCGGGCGCGCAAATTGCACGGAGTTAACTTTTATCGCTAAACGATGATGAAGTCGCCTTAACCTTAGTTTATCATCGATAAACACTTTACTACATTATGAACACAACTCTTGAAATTCGTATACTTTATTACCATCCATTGTGAAAAGGGCATAAAATAAACATTTCAGTAGGTACTTAACTATGCCAACAAGCCATAGTATCTTACTTTTAAATGCGAACATATACATAGATGGATGGTATAATGGATGGATGTTTGTTAGAAGGTATCTCCAAAACGGTTCAACGAATCTTTATAAAATTTGACATAGATGTAGAACATAGTCTGTAAAAACACATAGACTACTTATTAAGCTATAGTATATTAATTCTGTGCGGACGAGGTCACGGGCTACAGCTAATGAAAAATATACAAAAAAAAGTATTCGATTTCCTTTGTTATTCGTACAATACTGGGAAAATTTCCCACAAAAAGGCAGACAGACGGACAGACATAAATTTCAAAAATTGTGCGCGAAACATGATTTTTTTTTCGATATTGCATACAGACAATCCAATTTTGTTACTTACGTATAAATATATCTATGTGCATCTTGTTCCTCGTTCCTTCATAACTCTGTAGCCTAAAAGACTAGACTAATTTTCAATTGTGACTGCAATTCGATTTGTATTCTTCCTCGATATGTAGGGGTAATGGCAATTAATTTACATAGTAGATACAATAATTGTGATACAGATCAAAATTAAACTTAAGTTCTAGAAGTATCCGTAAAGAAATAGAATTGTGTACTAGATATTCTATTAGTATATATCTCGACTCTAAATGTAAATATGTGGATTTGGAACGCTGCGCAATAACGAAGTCATACCGACGTCATATAAACACAGCCATGGCTGTTCATACTAACGGAACGTTTGTTACAAAAATTTTGTAAATTTTCAATGAAATACCAAATAGTACTATTTATATTTTGGACTATCATTTCGAACACAAAAATTATTACCTTACTTTTACTAATATTGTAAATGCGAATGTTTAGATGAATGGATGGATGGATGGATAGATGTTGGTTTAAAGGTATCTTCAATACGGCTCTACGGATCTCGACGAAATTTGACATACATATGAAACATAGTCTGGAAGAACATATAGTCTACTAATTATGTTTTTTTTATTTTAATTCCGCGCGGACGGAGTTGCAGGCGACCGCTGGTAAAGATATATTTTACACACTTTTACAGTATTAAACTGCTGCTGCTTAATTACTTACATTTTTAAGCATTTATTGCTTGAATGGGAGATAAGTATCTACATAGTAACTTACAATAAGATAAGGCTATAGTTTTGGAAGTGGCACTATTAATGATACGGTAAATTTCAAATATGCAAATATTGCGAGATAAGATACCCAATAAAACATTTACAACTTGATGGTTGACATGAAGTACGTATGACGTCACAATTCTGATGATTCGACCCTTGCACAACAGACAGTACGTAACGAGAACCGACTGTTGAAATCACATTACAATCAATAATATCTTGTATGCCTTTTTTTAAAAGTAGTATTACTTACATAATTGATACATGTATATGGGTATGTATATTTCCAGGTATCAGATATACCATACCATATATCAGAAAATTTTAACTTTTACATTTTACGCGTCTTTATCCTTATCCTTAAGAGGTGCCAAATCCTTATTCCATGGCAAAACTTCAGAATCTCAAATATTTAACGACAACGACCAACTATTATATAGGGAATATATATCAACAGAATCGGTTTTAAAAACGGTTTCGCACATTGCATGAGCGACACCAGCCGTTGATCAAAGGGAGCAGGCCGATGATAATGACCTTGCAGTATAAATGAAATCTTTATTCTAAAAAGAATGCTTATCAACATTCGGACTATTCTTGAAAAACTGACCAGTCGTCTATGTGACTTTGTAAGAATTGTAGGCATCTTATTATTTTTCATTTTTCGACTCTCCGGGGGAGAGGGCAGTAACTACCTTTACCCCCCTAAGCCTAGGAGCTAACCTAAGGAGTTTAAGTTTGAAGAGTGCGTTTACCATTTAATATGTATGACTAAAACTGCTCCTGGTATAAGCACTTTGCTATATATTTATGAAGATCTTATTTCGCTAGCCAGCGCATAATCATATTTCAATAATCATGATTTCTGGTAATGTCTAATATCAGTATAGGATAAAAGGATTGACGTACGTTAAGATAAAATGTAATTGAAACATTGTCTAAGTTTTTTATAGCTGAACCATGTAACCTTAATGTTTAATTTAACAAATTAAAAAATAGGTATACTAGGTTGAGGTATGTATGAATACTAAAAACTCGTCGCTGCGTCAAGGAGTAAATAAATATGCGCTTCCAAAGTAATGAACATTTTCCAAATAAGTTTCATATCTTAACATAGCAAACATAGGTAACATAGACCTTTAGGTCATCCTAAAGGTCTATGTTCCCAGGTCATAAAATTAAAAAATTAAAACTGTTATGTGCTGCTTGTCATTCCGTCTGCCACCTGTCACCTGCAACTGTCAAGTTAATAGTCAACAAGATCCAAATAATATACAAGCAATTTCAAGCATTTCTGGATTGTTTATTTAAAAAAAGAGAATTTTTATAAAACGCATTGAATTTTCTCATCAAACTTTAACATGTCGTGATTTTTCCTTAAGATTTTCAGTTGTCATAAATCCATTTCATCATGGATCCGTGTTTTTTAAAACCAGTCCTACCACATATTTTTAAAGCAATCAAAGATATAGATATTGTTGTACTCGTAAAGTCATCGCCCGATGAAATCAGACCCATTATACCATGTCTGGTTCGAATGGCTCTAATATCCCCCTTGGATGTGACACAATATTGCGCTGAAGCCAAAAAGGAGATACTTACACTCTTATCTGGCATTGATTTGGTCAACTTCATAGTATCCCTCCTATCTATTGAATTTCATACATTGGAAGTCGACCTTAAGAAGGAACAGCAAATGAGGTGAGTATTATTAAAATTAATGCCTAGAAAAAAAAGTGGAAAAGAAGGTTTAAGATAAAGTACAAATTTTTAATTATTAAATATAAGGATCCTTTATATACTTAGTAGGAACTAGCTGTATGTAAACATTCATTTTAATTAATTTTGCATTTTCAGACAAAAAAGTGGCACCCAAACCACTGAATCATTCTTGATTCCTAATCCTGTAAATGGAATATCAAACGACTTTGAACAGTCGGACTCTGCGAGGCGTGTCCGCCTTGTTTTATCAGAAATATTACAAATGCAAGCTCAGATAGTGGAGTATCAGCAAAATAAACATGCAAACAATGATTGTTCAGTGAAACCTTCCGAACTTTTTGACAATGATGTTTATTTGGAGGAAATAACCGATGTCATATGCATAAGCCTTGCAGAACTACCCAACTTGCTCAACATCTCAGATATTGTAGAAGTGCTTCTTCATGTCAATAAAGGTCCAGTTATAGTATCATGGATTGTGGCAAACATGCCTGATACATTATATGAAGGTAATAAAGTGAATTATTTAATTATTATAAATATAAATTTTAAATGAGTTAAATAAGTTTAAATATTAAATCTATTTTGTTGTTGTGTTGTAGTTGCTGAATCTCTCATTGTTAATGCTGAAAGAGGTGAGGAAGGAGGCATTCGTGCAAAAGCTTTGATGAGCCTATGTGCTATGTGTCCCTATTTATCAGCAACTGTCCGAGCAAAAGCAGTTTCAGCATCACGTTTACCTGCGTTGGTTTTGAATCTCACATTGACGCATCATCAAGATGATTTGGTAAGCCATTGAAATAAGTTATACAGTAAATACACATTGTTAGTCTACATCACAAAACCATCCTATATGTTATACTAAAACAAATGTTTACTAAAATTTTTAATACCAGGTTTAAATTTCTTCTTAAATTTAAATAAAGTTACATTATGTATAAGCAATGTAATGTATGGATGATTCCCTTTTAGGTTTCCTTTATGTCAGGTCTACTACTTGGATCTGATCAATCAACAAGAGGATGGTTTGCTACATTTCTTAGAAACTCTCACAAACGAGGGAAAGGAGATGGTAGCGCTGCTTTAATAAAGTTACGACAAGAGCTGCTCAAGAGATTAAAAGATGCTTCTGCTGGTGTTGAAGCATCAGCTTTATTAAGATTATACTGTGCCTTACGAGGAATTGCGGGAATTAAATTCCAAGATGATGAAGTGTCAGGACTTCTAAGATTAGTTACCCAGAAGCCTCCACCTACACCAGCGGGAGTTCGCTTTGTATCTCTAAGTCTGTGTATGATTCTGGCATGTCCATCATTAATGAGTAAGTGGATTTTATATATAAACTTGCTATTGTTCTTTATTATTAAATGTGAAATAAAATGCTATTTTCTATCAGCTGCAACGGATCATGAGAAAAAAGCTATAGAATGGGTGCAATGGCTAGTTAAAGAAGAAGCTTACTTTGAAAGGTAGGAATTTTAAATCAATATTTTATAATGTGTTTATTTAATTCTCTTTTTCTTAATATTTGTTTTTATCATTGCAGTAATTCAGGTGTTACGGCATCTTTCGGAGAAATGCTTTTGTTAATTGCAATACATTTCCATTCTGGTCAACTAGCTGCTGTAGGCGAGTTAGTTTGCGCAACTCTTGGTATGCGAGTACCCGTTCGTCCTAATGGCTTAGCTCGTATCAAGCAAGCATTTACTCAGGAAATATTCACGGAACAGGTAAACATTAACAACACTTAACACTTTAACATGTTTACATTTAAAATTAATTGACATATTTCTTTCTTTTCCTTAGGTTGTTACTGCCCATGCGGTTAAAGTTCCAGTTACAGCAAATCTTAATGGCAATATCCCAGGATATTTACCTGTACATTGCATTCATCAATTGCTAAAGTCTCGTGCATTTTCCAAACATAAAGTGCCAATAAAAAATTGGATATACAAACAAATATGCAATTGTACAGCACCATTACATCCTGTGATGCCGGCACTGGTTGAAGTTTATGTAAGCTCTATACTTGTTATAAACAATAAAGGCAACAGTGAATATGTTAATAAACCTATAACAGAAGAAGAAATCAGAAAAGTATTTAGAAATTCAATATTTGGTGTGAATTTTGACCAACAAAATAAAGGTTTTTCTCCAATGGAAATAGACAATGGAGAGTCCTCTGTGGACATTAGAATCGAAAAACCGACTCTGGCTTCGCAACTTCTGTTAATTTATTATCTCTTGCTTTATGAGGATATCAGACTTTCCAATACAGCTACACTCATAACTAATGGAAGAAAAATAAAAAGTTATTCTGCAGCTTTTCTCTCTGAATTGCCCATAAAATATTTGTTACACCAAGCACAGAAAGATCAAATGAGCTACGGCGTACTTTTTAGTCCCCTACTTCGTCTTTTGGCAACTCATTTTCCACAACTATCTCTTGTTGATGATTGGATGGATGATCAAGTATTTGGAGACTCTTGTCGTCATCAAATTGATGTTGAATTATCGGAATCGTCCATCAATGAAGCTTTTCAGTGCATTGAAGAAAACCCATACAAAACAGGAAAAGTGTTAAAAGCAATGCTTAGCAAAAATCCAACAGACATATGGCCGTTTGCTGAAATATTTGTAAAATATTTTAAAAGCGTACTCAGTGATCAAGTACCGCGACATATCCAAGAATTGTATCGCGAAGTTTGGTTACGACTGAACACTGTTTTGCCGCGTTGTCTATGGATTATGACCATTAATGCTTTACTCGATATCAATGGAAACAGCAGAAATGTTACAATTACACAAGAAAATGTATTAGTTGATCCATTACAAGTGTTAAGGTGTGATATCAGAGTTTTTAGATGCGGACCCATTTTAAAAATAATACTTAGAATTTTGGAAGCTAGTTTAGCAGCCTCAAGAAGTCAGCTAAGTCGCCATTTGTTGGACAAACCGCTTCTTGAAAAAAGCGGTCAATTGACATCGGATTCAGAAAGAGAAGAATTAAAAAATGCTTTGGTAGCAGCTCAGGAAAGTGCAGCATTACAAATTTTGCTAGAGGCCTGTTTAGAAACGAGTGAGGATCAGTCTAAACCTGAGCTAATGTGGTCCTTGCGAGAAGTCAGAAGCATAATTTGTTCTTTTCTGCATCAAGTATTTATATCCGAGCCCTCGTTGGCCAAACTCGTTCATTTTCAAGGATATCCTAGGGAGCTCTTGCCGGTTACTATTCAGGGCATCCCTTCGATGCATATTTGCTTAGATTTTATTCCAGAGCTTCTAAGTCAAGCCTCCTTAGAAAAGCAAATATTTGCAGTTGACCTTGTTTCCCATTTGTCTATACAATATGCGCTTCCAAAAGCGATGTCGATTGCTAGATTATGTGTTAATACGCTGTCTACTCTCCTGTCCGTATTGCCGAGTGATTTGCGACTAGAATTATTGCAACCGATTCTGAAATCACTCGTAAGAATTTGCACAGCATTCCCGTCGTTACTCGAAGATATAACATCATTATTGCTGCAATTGGGAAGGATCTGCGAATCGCAAGCGTCTCTCGGACATTGCTGGAACGACACAAACATTTTAGGCGAAGGTGCTTATGTTTCATCGGACGTACAGAGCGACACGAAGGTTTTAGTGGCTGAAGTTTTATGCAGAGATATCAAAGTAACCATGTCCGAAATAGTACAGAAAGCTTTGTTAAACGATAAGTTGTATTAGGGAGTATGAAATAAATGATTTTACTGATGTAAATTTCTTATCTTATTGAGGTGACCAAAATAAACAGTATAGAGACGTTGCTGACGTTCGCTTCTTTAAAGGGCCTTTTAGTTAAAACGCAAGAGCAGTAGTTCTTATATTCTTAATAGGAAAGGTTACAATAAAACCCACAATAAAGACAATATTTTTAATACATAATATGTAACATATTCGACAGATCAACGGGATTTTGTGTTTCCAATTGTCTGTACATCCAGGCGCATTGATTCCTTGCAGCAATATTTCCCACGTCGTTATACAATTGTGCCTGAAATATTAAATAATTTATTTTCAATAAACAATCTTTTCCAAATTTGTTTAGTGGTTATAAATTTATCATCATTACAAGGAAAATAGTTAAAACATTACAGTTAAATTATTGATAAAAAAGATAAATATTTTTTACCTGTATGTACCATGTCTGTAGCAACCTCACTTGTGCGCCTATTTTACAAAAGTTCTCCTTGACAGACTCGAGGGCTTCACAACAAGACTGAAAAACTTGAATCCGAGCTTCCCCAGTGGGAGGAGCGGTCGCGATGCGGCATTTTGTGTAAAGTAACAATCCTGAAAGGTCCACGATGTATTGAAAGATATTATATAAATACAAAAATTACAATGCAGGTATATAGAAATTACCTCTGGCCATGTCATACGCGCTGCCGTGCGCCATTATCAGGGGTAAGACTTTCCTGACGAGCACGAGGGCGTTTTTAGCGCAACCCATATGTAGCTGAACATTGGCGATGTGCATCTCCACGGTGGCCGCCAGGTAGTGCAAGTGGAACTTCTTCGCCCACGACAGTGCCTCGTTCAACAGCAATATGTTGGTGGACTGACTCACGCTGTAGGACAGTTGCACCTGCGACATCAGTATCATCGCCTGCAGACGCAGCGGTGCGAAGTGCAGACTGTCGTCTTCCGTTTTGCAGTAGTCCAGTATGTCCTGCAGCGTCTCCAAGGCATCCATTGCGTCACCTCTGAGGAAATACATCTCGGCCTTCAGCAGCTGACTTTCCCATCGATCCAAAGATGAAAGTTGACGTATATTCAATTCCGCCTCTTCCCATTTACCTGAAGGTTATTTTATGATTTTTAATTGTGTAAAGGAAAGAAGAATTTTGAATGTACCGTATTATTGTGACGTGTAGCAGTAAGGGAGAGGTTACCGGCGAGGAGTGCGGCGGCAGTGCGGTGCCTTGCGGCGACGGCGCGCAGAGGCGCGGGCGGGCGGTGCTGCAGATGCGAGAGCAGTGCGGCCGCCAGCCCACCCTCGCCGCGCCATGCCGCCACGCTGGCTGCGCCCGCGCCCGCCACCGCGCACGCCTCCGACCACTGCCACACGCTGCTCGCGCCCACCGTGCACTCTGGTATGACACAAAACACATGCCTTTAATATTCTACAACAAACGATTTCATATCGGTAGGAAAACCGTCTCCTCTTCAGTGTTTTTTTTTATACAATTCTCCTATCGTCACATCTCTTTGAGGCAAAAAAATCTTAATTTTTAATGTAACCATTCCTTGTAAAGCTGTTTTTGCCTCAACGTTTGTGGGCCTTTAGTTTTTGTCACATGTACAGTTTGAAACGAACGCCAGATGCAGAAATGCTATACCTATCTATGAAAATGCCAATATGTAATGCTTAACTTACTTGTATTGAGATTCAGTAGAAGTTGACAACTTATGGAAGCCATTTCGGTTTTTCCATATAAGGACCACAGAGCTGCGGTATTTGCTAAACTGGCCATCATCAAGTCAGTCATTGAATGGTGATAATTTATGGAGTCGCCTTTTGTTATAATCTGCAGGTAAAGATCAGGTTTAATTTACAGCTTTATACAGAAAAATAATTTGTGCGATATAAATATGTAAAAATTGTTTGGTCTGCATCATGAACTAATTATTATTTTTGAATTATTTCTAAAACATTCATTAAAAAAGGTCTAGACTACATGAAAGACTTCAGCGGGTTTAGCGGCATTGACCGCAGCGTGCTGCGCCATTAGCTGCGCGGCGGCGGCGGCGATTCGGGGAGCGCGGGGCACGCGGGCGAGCAGAGCGGCACGGCGCGCGCGTCCTCCCGCCAGCGCGCCCCACGCCGCCGCGTGCGCCAGGCACGCCGTGTCCGCCGCCTCCTGCGCCGCGCACAACGCCTCCTGCACGCCCTCCATAGCTAGAGAACTGAAACATGTAGTCCAATTCGAAACAAATGTAAAATTATAACAAACAACATACCAATATATAGCAGGGCCAAAAAAATACGAATGATAATAATCGATTTATCATAATAACTGAATTCTATTCATATTTTATGTTTGAAGTATGTAATAAATGATTCACTTTAAACAATGTTTTCAAGGAAGTTGCACCATGGAACCAAAATTGATGTCAAATGTGACCTTGCTATAAATAATTTTACCTTCTGGCGGCTGTAATCATAGACTTATTAAAAACATCAATTTTGTTCATTTAAACACTAAAATTATCCAAAATAAATCCATAGACTATAAATAATATTACCAGTGAAATGTGTAAATAAATTGCTCATTGCCACTCACTATACATCCATTCATAGATTTTAGATTTATTTAGGATTCTTTACGTTTATTAAACTCCATAGAGGCATCAGAAAAATTAACGGCACAAAGGGTAACTTATAATAACATCCTTTTACTAACTTTTATAATAACACATTCTCTGGCATTAATTATGCAAAAATCATTGTAACACAAAAATTTTATATGATTAAATACTTACAAATGTCCAAACTGTGTATGCATAGCAGCTCTGTTAAGAGCTGCATATCGAAAATTTTTATTTTTGTCATTCATGTTATTTGAATTGGCACATATATTAAATACTGTTCTGTCGAAACAATTGTACAATGAGTCTTGAGCACCACAAAATTCCTTCATTCTAATGCAGTTTAAGAAACTTAAAAAATGCTGAAACATATTAAAAAAAAATCGTACAAACATTTTTCTCTATGAATGAAATCGAAGACGCTCAAATCAGTAGTATTAAATATTGATCAATAAATTACTTACAATGTCTGAATACTCGGGAATATCGTTCATTATTTGCATTATAGTTTTCTGTAGTTGTTTAGGAGGAAGTGCTTTTCGCTCATTAATTTGTAATAAATTAGCTTGTTGAGCTGTAAATAACTCAGCTTGTTTCCTTGACCACTGACACTCTTCGAGGCTGCTACAGAAAATAAAAAATTACAGTAATTAACACAATACTAACAATAACAATAGTAAACATACAACATACTTGTCTCTTTCAATTAAGTTCATTCTTGTGAAAACTTCTTGTGGCTTTGATTCTTCTGGTAATGAAGGTGAGCCTGTGCATGGGGCCCCAACTGTTGATTCCATATGATTTAACCTCTGCAACATAATCACTAAAGAGCATGAACATTTTAAATAATAGAAGTAATGTTAATTATATTTTCAAACTATGAAATTCTTAATGACTTTATTTTTAAATTTTTTGTTTGTTAAAGTTTAAAAATCTTGTACAAAGTTCAAAATCAAGTTATACAAATTACATTAATTTTGTAAGCAAGGATTAATTATTTTGTAATGGATTCATTAGAAAATAATTAAAAACAAACTGTACTATCACTTAGTATTAACTTCTGAGACAATAAGTGTAAATTTAAAATACAATTTAAAATTCTAGTAATTATAAAAATATAATAATACCTCTTTGCTTAAGGATCTCATCATTAATCCAGGTCGACCTTTTTGGTAATACAAACAAAATGATTTATACAGAGCAACTACTTGCACAAAAGTAAGTTTATCCAAATGCAACATTATCCTTCTTAGGTAGAAACCTGAAATAAAAAAAATATGTGAATAACAAATATATAAAAAAGTTTAAATCAGAATATAAGGCTGTTATAAAAGTGAACATAGGCATAAACAAATCTTTACAAACAAAATAGTACAGAAGAAAGTCTGAATTACCTAAAACACTGCATCGAGTGATAGTACAAGGGTTTGTCTCACTTTGTTCAATCATTAACTTATCAACAGTTGATGTTACACAGTCCATCAAAGCGCTTATACCATTAACATGTATGTTCTTGAGACGAACACAGAAATTTTCTAAATGTACACTTAATAAATTATACCGCCCATCTGTAAGAAGCGTCTCCAAATCCTTAAATTCCATATCCGGGCACTAGAATATACATATATCGGTGAGTAAAACCACTACAAACATTTTGTTTCATTAGCAAATATAAACCAGTACCTGAATTAATTTTAGGGCTAGAATACAAAAGTCTTTTCTGTATTTGGGTGCCATAGTACAGTTAATCATGGTTTTCGCTGAAAAAAATATTATTGTTTTTTAAATATCAATTTGTTATTTTAAATTGTACAAATTTGTTCTACCACCGGCAAATTCATGTACCGACCTTCAATTTTTAATAAACCATATTCTCTAATAAAAGCAACAACTGCTATTTTGTGAGGTGTTATGTTATCAACATTAGCTCTTAAATTTATTAATCTACTAAAGTCTAAAGTTTCGCCACCGACATCCATATTAATATCTCAACCTCAAAACTTGAGGTTTTATGTATTATGAAATTTTGAGTATATGACTATCAAAAGACGCAGGTGCCTGACCTGAATTACCTATAACTATAAAATTAAAATGAGAATAGAATAATATACAATTACAATGTATTATTAATATTAAAGAGATTTGTTTTAGTTAAACATCTGACATTGACATTTTTATGGTAAACAAAACTTGAAAATGTCTGAGAAGACTACAGAGTATAACAAAAAAAACCTTGGCTTAAATAGTTTTATAATCTTTGGTATTCTTTGGATAGTTTTTCATACTCTTTATTAGGTATTTGCCATTATATGTTGTATAGCCGATCTTCTATCCATTTATTTTTTATTTTTGTATAAAGTACTGAGGTTTATTTTATAGAAAATAAGCCATAAATGTATATATTTATATTTTCAATAAACTAAAGAAGTGCTTTAACAATGATTGTAATAAAGCCTCAACCATAGCAAAACGCTGAAAATGGGGATTGTTTACGTATCGTTTGTTCTTCCAGTACTTTATTTGTTTGTTTTAACTGAAACTTCACGTGTTACTGTTTATCAAGGGGATTCTTTGCCGCACCATGGTCGATGTGAACCCATTACAATACCACTTTGCCAGAATATCAGATACAACCAAACTATTTTTCCTAATATACTAAACCATGCCAAACAGTCGGATGCAAGTCAAGATTTACTACAATTTACAGTGTTTATAAAAGTCAATTGTTCTCCGGACTTGAAGTTTTTTCTGTGTGCAGTTTATGCCCCTTTATGTACAATCTTAGAGAATCCGATAAAACCGTGCCGTCATTTATGTGAATCTGCTAAATATGATTGTCACCAAAGTATGTCTTCTTACGGATTTCATTGGCCAGAAAATTTGAATTGCTCATCATATCCAGTCGCTGGAAATGAGGAATTATGTTTTGGCGAAAACAATGGTACGCAAGAATCCCGAAAACGTGCCGAGAAAAAACTTCCAAAGGTAGATTTTAAGGCCAACATTGAACGAAATCCTACAAAACTGCATGGGGCAAGGGATATCGGTTTTGTGTGTCCCATTCAGTTTAAGATACCTAAAAATTTGGACTTGGAGTACTCTTTGAAAGTCGGAGATAAAGTGGAGAAAGACTGTGGTGCACCTTGCAATGGTATATTTTTCAGCCAAGATGAAAAGAATTTTGCAAGGCTTTGGATTGGATTATGGGCAACATTATGCACCATAAGTTGCCTATTTACTGTTTTAACTTTTCTCATAGACACTGATCGTTTCCGTTATCCTGAAAGACCTATTATATTTCTCTCAGTATGCTATCTGATGGTTGCAGCATCATATGTAATGGGGTGGGGAGCAGGTGACAGTGTAAGTTGTCAAGGCCCATTTCCACCAACTATTAGTGGTACAAGATTACCAAATATATCTGTAATAACTCAAGGAACTAAACATGAACCATGTACCATACTTTTCATGGTTGTGTATTTCTTCAGCATGGCCTCAAGTATTTGGTGGGTTATATTGACACTTACTTGGTTCTTAGCAGCAGGGTTAAAATGGGGTCATGAAGCAATTGAAGCAAACTCTCAATACTTTCATTTAGCTGCTTGGGCTGTCCCAGCCATAAAAACAATATCTATATTGGCAATGGGAAAAGTGGATGGTAAGTTTCTTCTCTGTATTTTATATGTCTTACAACTCAAGTCAATAACCAGTTCAATTCAACCTAACAAAAAAATATTGCTGTTTGTACAGTGGACAAATATACATTGAATACAGACTTTTTTAAATTTTGCAGTTTATAAGTGGAATTGATGGATTTAAGAAATTTTGCATATTACATAGATTATAATAAAATATTTATTTTGCAGGTGATATATTATCGGGTGTCTGCTATGTGGGGCTTTGGGATGCAGAGGCTCTACAAGGATTTGTTTTGTCTCCACTCTGTGCTTATCTTGTGCTGGGAACAATTTTCCTACTGGCAGGGTTTGTTTCTTTATTTAGAATCAGAACAGTTATGAAACATGATGGTACAAAAACTGATAAACTAGAAAAATTAATGATTAGGATTGGAGTTTTTGGTGTTCTTTACACAGTACCTGCCTTGATTGTTATAGCATGTTTATTTTATGAATATATTCATTTTGACAGTTGGATGGTAACATGGCATAGAGATTTATGTACAACTCCAATGTATTCAATACCATGTCCTTTTTCTCATCAAGATGTAGTAAGACCTAAATTTGAAATGTTTATGATAAAGTATCTCATGACAATGATTGTTGGTATCACTTCAAGTTTTTGGATTTGGTCTAATAAGACTTTAGTTTCTTGGCATCAATTTTTTGACAAGATAAAAGGCAGAAGAGTTGAAGCATATGTATGATGGATAAGGTAACATTAAGGAAAGATGTAGGAACTACATCCTTGTTCTTTGAATCTCTTGAATTCATTATGTTACATTATTTTATTCTGTAATAGTGATGTAAGCCCCTAGTTGTTTTAGTTTTGTGTCATAACAAAGATACTCACACAGAATGTGTAAACCTCAAATTAAGCTTTTTTATTTTTATTCAGTATTGATGTTAAGTTCTTTCTAAAAGTATTAATTTTGCTTTTGCAAAATGTCTTAATGAAAAGTGAATAAGTAAGAATCAAAATATGAATAACTGTTGTAGTTTTATATTTTTACAAACCATTTACATTTTTTTATATTATTTTTAATTACTTTACACTTTTATATTGAATAAGGGACATATGAATAAGTTCATTAATTTTGTAAGTTTTTTTTAGTTTATGTATTGTGATTATAAATTTAATTATTACAATGAGTTCTTTAGCTTAGTTTTTTAACATATTTTTTTAAAATTCTAAATTATAAGGCTGATAACATAAAGTGAATAAGATATGATTATATTTAGATCAGATTTCTTAAAAACCTCTGATTTACATTTTATTTTGAAAAAAAATGGTTTACAGATAATATTGATGGCAGGTATAAAACAAATAATGGTATTTCTATGGTTAAAATATCTCATTTATGTAAATATCGACTTATTTTTAAGGTTTAAATAAAAAAATCAGTAAATAAAAACTTATATTTATTTAAGAATAAGATTACATAATTTATCTCAGCATACCCCTCTCATGATCTTAAATTCTCTTTCATTAAAATTAAAAAACATTAATTAATTAAAATTTATGCTCTAGTATATTTTCCCCAAATATGAAGCATGAACACCGATGCAATGAACAGGAGAGACATTACCAATACTGGGACTGGACCTCTGCAAAGAAAACAAATATTTAATTGGTTAAATACAGAAATATGAGATTATAATAACTATGTAAAATTTTTTTCAAGATAAAGAAAAAACCTACAAAATGAGTTCAAACAAAATATAGTGATTTCTGTTATAAATAAAAATTGGGGGTTAGTTCATCTATTTCCCCTAAAATATTGATGGGTTACATACAAAATTATCATTTCCAAGAAATATAATCCTAAGGGGTAATAGATGTGTCCACCCAGTGAAAATTCCTCTGTAGTTTTGTATGTTTGCACTGAAAACAATTATTGTTATAACATATAGTACATATAGCCTTTTAAACAGAATATAGCAGATATCACAGACTGTGTACCGATATTGTTTAGCTAGCTAAAAACTTGAAACAGCTTGAAACATTTTTTACCACCTTTCTCAAACTCATTTTATGACTTTACTGAAGTACAAATAATAAATTAAAGTAAATATGCTCTTACACTTTAACGCCAGGAGAATCGTCGGTGTAGAAGCGCCACATACCACCCGAGCCTGCACCCGTGCTTCTATTTCGAGCAGCCGTAGTAGTAGTAGTAGATTTGCGTTGTCGTACTGTACCGCCGCTTGAAGATCTTGGGACTGCAGACGATTTACTTGGTGAACGTCCACCAGACCCCACAGAAGTAGAGCTCGGAGAAGCTGGCTGAATTTACAGTAACAAATATTTATTATTCTTACTATTGATTACAAAAGACTTAAGTGTAACAATTCTTTATTATTCTCTTTACCATTTTAAGTTATAAATATTCCGATCTGCAACGCCGTAGAGAAGACTAACTTTACGGAGATAAAGTTTGGAAGTAGGCAATCGAATTTAATTGATGTTGTTGGCTATGCAACGCGTACAATCAGTTGACACGTCGCCGTTCAATGTTGTCAGGTTTTTCCAATCAGGTAACGCAAAAAAACCCCTAAAAATTATTAAATTATGTATAAGTTTTACGATTGGTTTGATAGATGAAAGAACTTTCGTTAAGTTTTCAAGTTTTTGCCAGAATTGTTTCAATCCTTAATAGATAATACTTAATAGATGCATACTCAGTCAATAACATTTTTTTTGTACCTTAGACTAAGAATACACTCTGTGCTTGAAGTTGACAACTGTCATTGACATGTTCCTATTCCTAAAATCTTATCTTTCTAACCTAAAACATAAAGAGTCTAGAATTTACTATATTTCGCTGAGTGATTTTAAGGTGAGACGCAAAAAAAGTAATATGACAGCAAAAATATCATATTAATATGTAATATGATTTTAAGATTCAATGTCATAAACCAAAAATTCTCTACGACTATTAAAATTTTAAAGACCAGTGCAATGAACGCAAGCAAATGTTACTTTCGCTATATTGAGGCGGAGGAAAAAATCGACATATCATTTTTATTGAAGGTTAAACATGCTGTTAGACAGTTTAATTTTAAAAGAAAACCTACAGAAAATATACAAACACTGTGTAACCGTATAGAAACTAATGTTCAAAAAGTTATCGCCAAAAAGAACAAAAAAAATGAAAAGGCTAGTGTTAATACTAAAATAAAAATTGCTGTATTGGATGTTAATAACCAAGAAATGTCTGATAATTATTCTTGCAAAGATTTATTTGAAATGGAAGGACCGCTCAAAGTACAAATTTGTGAGCAATTTTATGAAGCCGTTTTTAATGCGCCATGGATTATCAACATTAATTTACCTAAATGTTTACTTCTTGGATTTCCTGTTTATCCTGAGAACTTTGAAACTTTATACACTATAAAGGAAAAATCTGATTTCAAGTGGTATACAGGCAAACCTGTTAACAATCAAGGAAACATAATAAGTGATATACATATTAATTGGATTCTAGTTGGTAATAGTTATTCATATGTTCCAACATCAGTGGATGTAGGTATGAAGTTGAAGTTAGAATGTACTCCAGGTAAATATATTTTTCCTTATACACATATTTTAATTTACCTAATTATTATACTGATTACTTCTGGCTCTGCCTTATATTTTACTTGTCACATTTGACACCTAAAAATGTTGCCCTTTTTCCTGTTTCTTTAATTCTAGTTTTAGGAATAAACCCAAGTATATACAATGAAGTCACAAGGAATGTTAATAACTATACTTATTAATAATATAAATGTGAAAGTTTGGATGGATGATTGTTAGAAGGTATCTCTGGAATGATTCAACAGATCTTGATTTTATTCTTAAATGATGTTTAAACATAGTCTGGAAGACATAGGCTACTTACTATTTTTTTTTCATTTCATCTGGATGAACTCACTTGCAAAAACTATGTATGGAAATAGAAGCATTTATGTAATTGACTGGGCCAAAAAAAAATAATTACAATAAATTTTCAGGAAATGACAACATCACTGGACCAGCTGTGGAAACAATTTCTACAAGTCTAGTGGAAGCGGGTCCTGGTCCATGTCCTTTTGAGGCGAGACATCAGTTTACATCTTCAATACTAAAAGATTCAAGGTGTGCTCTTTTGGTTCAAATAGTAATTACTATTTAAGTTAATGTTAATAAAAGTCCATAAAGGAAAACTTGACTATTTTATAAATACTATATTATTTTTCTAGTTCAAAAGTACAAAAAAATTGAATTTTAGGTCAAAAGTTTTTAAAAAGTTTTCTAACATAAAGTCTCTCTTTATATAATATAGATTAGTTTTATAAGTATTTTAGTTTTACAGTTTCCGATGTGTTTCATACAATATATTGGCAGATTTGTATTGTGACTCAGACTTTACAAGAAGTGTACTCCATCCATACTGCCCGCCATATGCTCTTCAAATAGACTACAGGAAACAACTTATTTTAAAGGAACTTAAAGGTAAATTAAACAAATTCCAAATCCTAATGTTAACAATATCTTGTAGCTTTGATTGAGAGTTACTTTGCCAGTAATAATAATAGACTTTCAGACTTTTTTGTACTAAAACAATAAATAACAACACTGAACAGCAATAATTTTTAAACCACAAGAAGAAATTTATTTTGTTATGATTGTTAAATGCAAAATACTTCCATTAGACAGCATCAGCAAGCTGAAGATCTCATAAAATATTTAGGGCAGTAAGATTTAGGTAGGAAATAACCATTTACTTATAAAACTGTCCTTGTTCAACCAGGATACAATGCTGATATTTATTGTCTTCAAGAAGTTGACAAAAAGATATTCAACAATAGTTTAGAGCCATTTTTGAATAGCATTGGGCTAAAAGGTTTATTTTACAAGAAAGGCAAAACAGTTTCTGAGGGCTTAGCTTGTTTTTATAGACAATCCAGATTTGAGTAAGTACATGTTTTTTAAGCTTTGATTATCTCTGTTAACACTTGTATTTATATCTTCTTATAATTTTTACAGATTGTTGGAAGAAGAAAACATTTTATTAGCAGATGCTATAAAAACTTTACCATGTCTTGAATCAATATGGAATGCAATTAAAGATAATAAGCCATTGATAGATAGGTTATTGGACAGATCAACAGTGGCTAGTGCAACAATATTACAATCAAAAGACAATCTTAAAGAAATAGTTATTGTCGCCAATACTCATTTGTATTTCCATCCTGACGCTGATCATATTAGGCTGCTTCAAGGAGGAATAGTGATATATTGGCTAAATGAAATTAGGGACAGATTGATTCAAAAGGTTTGTTAATGTTTTTATCAATTTTTTTCATTTCCCCTTTTTTAGATTGTTTACCGTTTATTATTTTATAACATAATTACAGCACCTTGGGAAAAGGATATCCCTAGTTCTGTGTGGTGATTTTAACAGTGTACCTTCTTGTGGTATATATCAGTTGTACACCACTGGTATAGTTCCCGATAGTCTTCCAGATTGGCAGTCAAGTAAGTTTTCATTATTTACTTGCTACATAAATAATACATAGTATACTTAATTGTGAAAATTTATCTTAAGTAAATCCAAAATTTTACAGATGGTGATGAAAAAATATCCAACTTATGTCTCTCTCATGGTCTACTTCTTGGAAGTGCTTGCGGAACACCTCCTTTTACCAATTTTACAGTTGGATTTGCAGATTGTTTGGATTACATTTTTTACGACAAAAACAACCTTGAAGTAGAACAGGTATAATGTTATAGTAATATAAAATTTAATCGTACTATTATTATAAATGCGAGTGATTAGATTGAAGGATGGATAGATGTTTGTTAGAAGTTATGTCCAAAACGGCTCAACGAATCTCGTTGAAATTTGGCATAGATGAAAAACATATAATCTGGAACAACACATGGGTTACTAATTATGTTTTTTTTAATTCCGCACGGCGGGAAACGCGGACAACAGCTAGTCATTAATATTACCAAAAAGGTTTCGTTTTTTTTAAATACATAAATAATAAAAATATTTTGTCCACAGGTCATTCCATTTCCGTCAATTGAAGAACTGCAAGCTCATACAGCTCTGCCGAGTATTGTGTTTCCATCAGATCATATAGCTATTATTTCAGATCTTAGATTTAAGATATAACAATTGAATAATGTAATAAATGTTATAAAAAATATAATTGACTTTATTAATTAAGGTGTTGAACCTTACTGAGATATGCACCTACGTTACCATTAGTACACTGGTGTCTGGTGTACTCAGACATAACAATAAGTGGCCTGTTCACTTTCCCTTCCTTATAAGGAAAGAATGGGAAGTGGATTTGACAGCGGTTTGGACGCATAGGAAGGGGGATATTCTCTTTTCGTGCGTCCCCGCCTCTATCAATTATAGTTAGGCAGCGCATCTACAATTCCGGCTGTAGAACCAACCGCGATAGTAGCGCCTCTCACGGGTTCAGATATCCTTGTTTGGCTATAAACAAAAACCATAACCCATAATCAAATGTCAATGTCATAAAAGGCTGTATGGCTTAGTTCCTTTACCTGCTTTTTGGAGCGAATAATAAAAACAACAACAAGTCAATGTCATACGTCATTCTTGTTTGTCTTCCACATAATCGGTGTCATTTCTCCCTTTGTTTATTTCTTATTAACACGAAAAATAAATAGTATTTTGCCAATTCAAAATGTTTAAAGGATCAGTTAAATCGAGTTGCTTCGTGAAATCAAAACCTCATATAATATTCAGTTATTTAGGTAAGACTTTACGTACGAAGAAGTATAACAATCGGAATTTTCCAGTTACTATGTTGACGTTACAATTATTTACATATTCTACATAATGTATATTATATGATTACTTTGTATCGCAAAGCAATCTAAAGTTATCGTTTTTTATTAGGTGGTACCAATCAAGTGGGCAGCACAATACATAATACTGGCTCTGTAAAGTTTCCTCAAGCAGCCACTCTTAAATTGCCAACAAATGTAATCGATATAAACTCAGCAGAAATGGGAAGGTTTTCTCCACTACGAGAAAGAGATATATCTGGACCAGTTATTAACTTTCATGGGTTAAAACCTGTTTTTCGAGAAATTGACATCACTCTGCAATCTGATCCTCATGTTAATAAATATGATTGTCGTGGCGCTGTCAGTCTGTCGTCGTCGATGCAAAGTAATGTGCCAAGCCCATTTAGTGGGAATCACACACACTTAAATATGCCTGGTTCACAATGGGGACAAGGCTACAAGTATTTGTCTGATCACTTACACAGTGCACATTATTTGACATTGAGAAATGAGTATAGAGGAAAACTCTTCAACAAAGGTAATCATTATTGAATTGTATGTTGTAAAAATATTTTATTGTGATGAGAAGTATGAACTAAAATTTTTTGTGCTCATTAGTGTGTTAAAATATAAAAGAAATGGTGAAAGTTTCAAAAAAAAAATAAGTAGAATAACTGCCTCATTATAACAAGTTTTAATTAAAAGTCTCTTCACACTAATACAATAAAACATCTAATAAAAATTATTATTTTATCTGTTGCTTGATTTATTAATTTGTTGCATTAGCAACACCCAACTTTAATACCTTATCTAACATGCTTAAACAATCAATTACTGTACATGATTTATATCATATTTCGTCATATACAATTTTGTGATCTTCTTTAAATATAATAAACTTGTGCATAATCATTTTTCAAAGAATAGCTGGCACTATTGGAACACGGAAAATGAGTACAGACACGCAAACAGTGATGAGTGCCAAAGAAAAACTGAAAAAAGCTGTGAAGGAGTATGGTTCTACAGTAATTGTTTTTCATGTTTCCATTTCATTGTTATCTCTGGGGGCCTGCTATATTCTTGTGTCTAGGTATGTTATTTTAAGTGCTTAATCTATTGCTTATTAACAGTAATTAACAAATGCAGCAAATGATATATTTTCACCTTGTATAGTCATACTTGATTTTTTGTGGAACTATAAAAGGTAGAACCTAACAATATAAAAGAATATTGTTATTAGGTTTAGTATTAATTATTAAAAATCATAATTCTTTTACTTTCAGTGGAGTCGACATAGTGGCAATAATGAAGTATTTCAACATAAGTGAAGGAACACTTTCGAAAATTGCTGTATCAAATGCTGGTACATTTGTCATAGCATATGGAGTGCATAAGTTTTTTGCTCCTTTTAGGATAGGTGTTACCTTAACAGCAACACCATTTATTGTTAGATATCTAAGAAAAATTGGCATGTTGAAGCATCCTTCAGTTCAGAGTGGTGGTGGAAAATAAATAAATAATTTCTCTACATGTGTTTTATTTTATCAATGATGAAACCTTAATTTAAAAAAACATGAAACACTTGTACATTTAGTTAAGAATTGAAGAACTTGTGTGATTGGTTTAACTTTTCAAGATAGGATGGAAGACTTCAAGTGAGCAATGGAACAAATATTTATTTATGGATCATCACCATTGTTTTCAATTGAGAAGAACCTGGGTGAATTGGTCTACTATTATAGATAATTAGTGGACAGGAAGTTACGCCTTTTTTTACTTCTTATCTGTATTTTGCGAAACCACGTAGGAGACGATTAGAGGTCAAGCGAGTGAGCCACGGAAGAGTGCCCAAAGCAACCCTGTGGCGTGTAAAATAAAGCCCTATTACAAGACTTCTTAAAATTTCTCCAAAATAATAATATTTTGTTCAACGGGAATAACTGTCTAATTCAGAACAAGCGTGTTCCGCTCCCAAAATTACAAATTTAGCACGAAAATTAAGAGATGCGTGTGTAAGGAAATTTTCATAATCATTCGAACAAATTTGTGAAATCAAAAAACATTTATTAGAATATACTTTAAAATCAATAACTAGACCTCTTATAACAATTGCAGTTTAATTTCGTGCAGTACTTGAGAACGAACTTGCAAAGGCAATTTCTAGTATCATTCCGTATTCAAACAAACATGGACGACTTAT